TTCTCGTGCCCTTGTATGGCCCACATGCTGCAGGGTCCTCTGTACTCCTGGCTCTTTCAGAACACACGAAGCACCTGTACTGCTGGCTTGTTACATTCACCAGGACCCTAAGGGCTGGGTGCAGTGTGATGGCCCCAGTGCACAGGTGAGCAAACTCAGTGCAGAAGGGCTAAGAGACCGGTCCAAAGCCCCGAGTGGCTGGGACATGAGTCCTGCCTTCTCTGCAGAGAGCACAGATACAGGGTGGGAGAGAGCTAGGAAGCCTCTGTTCCAGACCGGGCACTCAAGGCTAGCTTTGGAACTTTTTAGTTGAGAGATGCAGGCTACTGCCATGAGGTTCTTGCATCAGCAGCCTACCTCACTGCTCCAGGGCAAGTGGATCAATGCTTTAATGCAGGAGAGTGGTTCATAGTCTGTTTATGTACCTATACTAGTTGGCAGACAAGCAGGGTCTGATTCAGTAAGTCTGATGCTGGCCTTGGGCATGTGAGTGCTGGTTACTTGTATGTATGTGAATGTGAGCGAGCGCGTGTGTGTGTGTGTGTGTGAGCGTGTGTGTGTGTGTGTGTTGGGTGGCTATGTACATGTGTTTGGGTAGGTAAGTGGGCTTGTGTGTGTGTGTGTGTGTGTGTTGGGTGGCTATGTACATGTGTTTGGGTGGGTAAGTGGGCTTGTGTGTGTGTGTGTGTGTGTGTGTGTGTGTGTGTGTGGTTTGGTGGGTGGACGGACACATGCATGTGTATGCAGGGCCTGGAGTCCTTCACTGTTTCCTCCACCACAGCCAGATAGAAGGATGAAGGGAAGGCTGAGTATTCTCCGTGATTCTGCTGTGGCCTATGTGACCCATATGGCCCTGGGTCAGGGTTTGTCCTCCTCAGCTCTCAGTTTTCTGCCCCACCGTCCTGCCAAACCATGGAGTCATTTAACTGATACTGCTATCTGTGGACATGTTCTCTTGTTTCTAAGATAAACACACACACACACACACACACACACACACACACACACACGTGCGCACACACAGCCTAAACAAGACACACCTTACAATTCTAACTGAAGATATGTGTTTTATGTCCCATACTGTATTATGTTTTTACCACTGAGCATATTATAGAGTTGAAGAAATACAGCCTGTGCCAAACCCTGAGAGCCGAAAAGAGTGCCCAAGGGGTAAACAGTTCCAGGACCAACTTTGTGCCATGCAGGGTGCACACATCAACCCCCCCCTTATCTTCCATGGTCATCCCTGGAGCTGCACTGGTTTTGGTGTCTGTGCTGGATAGGTTTAGTGTCAACTTGACACACCTGGGTTGAAGGAGCCTCAATTGGGGAATTGTCTCCATTGGACTGGCTTGTGTCTGTGTCTGTGGGGTATCTTCTTAATTCTTGAGTGATGTGGGAGGGCCCAGTCCACTGGGTGATGCCACCCTGAGCAGGTGGGCCTGTGTTGCATGAGAAAGCAGGCTGAGCAGGGGCCAGGGGAGCAAGCCAGTAGGCAGAGTTCTCCATGGCCTGTGCTCCAGCTCCTGCCTCCAGGTTCCTGCCCTGAGTTCCTACCTTGGGCTCCCTGATGAACTGTGACCCAAGAGATGTAAGACAAATAAGCTCTTTCCTCCCCAAGTTAGTAGTGGTCAGAGTGTTTTGTCACAGCAAACAAACCAGAACAGTGCCCAATGCATAAAGGAGGAAACTGGGATATGGATTCATGAGCTTGCTCCTGCTCATACAGTTACTAAAGGGGCAGAGCCTGGTCTGAATCCAGGCAGCCAGGCTCCACATGTGAACCCAGCTAGCTCTGTGCCCTGCATGCAGAAGCCCCTGTGTGAACGGTGGTGGGGATTAATGAAGTGGAGGTGTACCCCAATCCCACCCAATCAATCACATGGCTTATGCTTGGCAAACTGGGATGGTAAAAGGAGAAGCAGGTAAGAGCTCAGACTGCAGGGACTTGTAGGCTGCAGCAAAAAGAGGTTTTATCCCAGGAAAGTGTGCAGTGTGGAAGTATGGGCAGCAGAGGGTGCTGGAGCAGGCAGAGGGCAGAAAAGTGGAAGAGGGTAGCAGGACTTAGGGTTGGAGAGGAAGGAGGAGTTTGAGAGGGGAGTTTAGGACCCAGATCCCAGGCTCTGGAGCAGTTGTGGCCACTGAGGCAAGTTGATCCCTACCATGCCTGTGTCTGTAGATATTTTTCATTGTCACAGCTGAGAGACGGTAGTACAGGTTGCTGCCAGGGATAGCTGCCGGGGATAAGAATAGTCAAAACAGAATTTTCCAGTCCTGCTTGTCAGTAGGGACTGAGAAAGCCTCCTGGAAGTTTCCTGCTGGGAGGGGCAGGGGAAGGGGTGGGAGGTGGTCCACACTGTCCCAAGCTGACTCCGAGGAGGATCGATGTGATGTGGGCAGCATTTCCTGACCCCAGGTCATGGCTGTGGCCACAGAACTTGGTCCTTCTCAAGGTCTTGGCCTGTGTGGACAGTGTTTGCATTGGGTGATGCAATCTCCACAGGGGCCACCCAGCTCATTTTGCTTGTGTGATGTGGTGGGGACAGCTTTCCCTACACAAATTGCCTGACTCTCCACCAGTAGATCTTAAGGAAGCAGTCAGGATACTTTAGAAGGCTCCAAGGTACAGACACAGTGTTCTAATTTTGCTTTAAAGGTCCGTCTTCGGGAGCTTGTTCATAAAATCACAGTGACGACTTATCAAAGTATGATGTCCAGAGGACCACTTGTATTTGATAGGGGAGTCCAGAGGCTTGTGACTTCGAGGGGAGTCCTAGCAGAGCCGGGGTGGAATGATGCTCAGAAGGGAGGGAGGGTGTTCTGGGAGGTCTTTGGGAAGGGAGTGCAGTCTGCAGGCAACAGCCACCCCGACTCACTCCCAGTCTAGGACAGGCACAGCCTGACCTGACAGCATCTCGTCATCTGCTAGCCACTCATGGTACTACACAATCTTGGCAGGCACTGCTGAAGGAGCCTGAAGCAACATGGAATTTCTGCAAATCAGGTATAGTGACCTACACTTAAAATTGTGCTGAGGCTGAGAATCCTCCTCGACCGCCCCCCACCCCCACACACACACCGGGAAAACTCCCGGCTACCAGACCAGGGTACACTGACAGCTAGCAGATTCAGTTCCTGAGAGTGACCTCTAGGGGACTCCACTGTGACCTGAAACTCTCCAGCCTCAGTGCAGGCTGCCTTCTGTTTCCATCATACTGAGCTCCAGAATCCTGCTCAAGAGTCCCCTGGACAAGCTCCTGGTCTCTGCCTTTGCTGTCCCCTTTGCAGGTAACCTTGCTTCTGGTGAGCTCAGGCTTCAACTCACAAGTGGGAAGTGAAACCAGAGCCAGAATCTACAAAGCTCGGTAGAGACCAGAACTGCAGAGAGGTCACTTTACACCTCCCCAGGCTACAGGCCACACACTCCCAGGGGAACTCTGTCCTTCTCCACAGTGGCTGGAGAGAGGAGAGGCTGGCAAAGGGGTTCAGACTCACAGAGCTCAGAGGTCCTGGGGTGGGGACAGGAGACTCTGTCTAAGACTTGCCCATGCTCACTCATAGGACCCAAAAAGTCATTGTGCTGGGGAGACCCTGCAAGGGATCCCTGAAAAGGAAGCAAATCTGAAGGGTGGAGGGGACGGTCCCTTACCCAAGTCCCCTAAACTGGTCCAGGTTCCCTGACCTTTGACAGGAAGATGCTCAATGCTCTGCTAGCCCCTCCCTGCCCCCTGCCAGCCCACCCACACCTGTCTTGTTCTTTCTTTGGAGGTTCTCCCTGCTCACCAGGGAGCTAGGGGCCTGTCACTGTTACCCAGTCCCTATGGCCCCCAGGATTCTCAGAAAGGTACAGGGCAGAATCCTTGACTTTGTCCTGGTATCTCATGAGGCAAGCAAGTTGTTCAACCTTTGTAAGCCTGTTTCCTCCACCTCCTCCCCTTCTGCCAGCTAGGGATTTGATTCCTGGAGGGCAGGAAGAGGTGGAGCTCCTGGACTGAGAGGAAGCCCAGCCTGGGTAAAGGTCAGAGTATCCAGACTCCTGGAAAAATGTCCCACTGACTCAGTGACATAGTGTTGGACTAGCTACTGAGATTCTCCAAGGCCTTTGTCTGTACAGACTGTTTGAATCCATACTGCCCAGGAAGGAATATGGCATCTTTATCTTATATATGATCAAACACAGGCTCAGAGAGCCTGGGCAACTCACTTCAGGTCATACAGCTGCTATGTGGCAGACTGGGATCAGGAACTAGTCTGTCTGGCTCCACACGCAATGCTCCAACTTCCACAGCCTGGCCTCCTGCATCCCCACTGCCTTCTCATCCCATCAGTAAGCCATCACTGACTGTGATGTTCAGGGTTAAGTCCATCTATAGCCTTTTGAAGGGGCTTCAGGGCCTGCTCACTGAAGTCAGGAATCTGCCAACCTTCAAGTCCAGGGCCAAATCACAATGAACACAAGGTGCTATGAACCAAAGATGGAGGATTTGAGGACATTCCAGGTAGGAGAGGGTCAGTCAGCTTGTGGATCCATAGGGATACTGAGGTCTGTATAGGACAAGGACACACATCCTGCCAGAGGCAAGGCAGGACAGAATCTGAGGTCAGTCTCATACCAAGCAGTTGTTAAAATTGTAAGAGAACTTTCTGGGTAACTTAGGTCACACCTTTGAATCTCCTTATCTGATGAGTGTAATTTGAGGCCAGATGGTCTCATAGGACCTGCTATTTGTCACCTCCACCTCAAACCTGGACTGCTGATGGCTTTGCTCCCATAAGACATGTATGGCCTCTTCAAACCACATGCATTCATCAGTCTTCATATTGGCCCAAGATCTCACAGCCAGAGAGAAGTGATGCTTTTCGAAGAGCCTTGTAAGTGGTAAAGCCCAGGCTCCTGCCTCCAAGTCAGCCTTCTGCTCCACAGGCCTCATGCTACCATGGATATGACAGACCCCCAGGGCCCTCCTGTCCAAGCTCCCATCAGCCAGCCCGGTACTCACAGAGACTGGGAAATAGTCCTTCATGTACCTCCAGATGGCCAAGCGTCTGAAGAACTGGATGGGCCGACCCCCCCGTTGAGGTGTGTCCCAGTCCAGGTACCACCAGGTGGCATACAGGATGGACAAGATCCAGAACCTCGTGAACAGGAGGCCTATGAAGATGATGATGCAGATCTGGGCTGGGAGAGATGCAGGAAAGTGAGGGGCCCGAGGTGCTGCAAGGCAGGCAGGTAAAACCCCTCTGTTGCATGAGGAAGCTCTGCTGGTGAGAGCTGAGAGACACATTAGTATTTTCTCTACCCCTGAAGCCTTCCTTTTTTGAGGCTGAATAATGCTCCATTGTGTATAGTTAACACATTTTGCTTATCCATTAGTAGATACTTAGATTGCTTCCATATTTGCCCTTTTGTTTTCAAATACTGTGGAATTATTTACTAATAACAAACTAGAGAGGTTTCATATTCAAACCCAGATAAATGATGTCTGTTGAAAACTGGACAACAAGACAGCCTACAGTCAGCATTGCCAAGGGCAGCCTGTCCCTCCAGCTATCTCCTCTCCTTCCTGGGTCATCCTGCCCCAACCCGTACAGGGCTTTATCATCACACTAGTCTGGATTCTTGCTGGTCCTTGAGAGACAGGAACAACAACAACTTGTGACTTGGTTACATTTCTGTTTGTCTTAAATATTTTATAATAAAAACTTTTCAAAGAGAAAGTTGTAGAGGACTCGGAATAAAGTGCCACATGTGTGTGAACAGAAGGCTGAAGGAGCCCTGGAAGCTGGAGACAGGAGACAGGACACTAGGAGGCAAGGAGGGGAGAGAGTTCTTAAATGTTATCTATTTACATTTTACATTGAAATGTGTTCTATTGGAAAGAAGCAGCTGTAGTACTGTGCACCTGTAATTCCAGTACTTGGGAGACTGAGACAAGAGACCATGAGTTCAAGGTCAAGCCTCAGCTACATAGAGAGATTATACTTCAAAAAAATGTTATAAGGCTAGAGAGATGGCTGCTCTTGCAGAGAACCCAGGTTTGGCTTCCAGTACCCATATGGCAGCTCACAACCATCTGCAACTCCAATTCCAGAGGTTCTGATGCCCTCTCTGGTCTCTATGGGCATTATTCACACATGGTGCATGTGCACGTGCACGCATGCGCTCACACACACACACACACACACACACACACACACACACACACCACTCACACACATAAAATAAATCTTAAAAACACACACATATGTTTTTATGTGTGTGGCGGGGGTATATGTGTGTATGTGTGTGCTTGTGTGTGGGTGAGTACATGCATGTGGAGGCCAGAAGTAATGTCAGGTGTCTTTCTCTAAGATTCTCCATGTTTTTTTTAAGACAGGGTCTCTCATTCAATTTGGAGCTCACTGACTCAGCTAGACTGGCTGGCAGGCGGGTCCTCTTGTCTCTGCCTCCACACAGCTGAATTACAGGTGCTTGTTGCTACAGCTAGCTTTTTATGTGGGTGCTGGGGATCAAACTCAGGCCCTCATGCTTACACAGCAGTTTACTAGTGGAGCCATCTCCTCAGCCCCATCCCCAATTGTTTTTGTTAAAAAAAAAAAAATAGAGCCTTGGGTAGAACTTTTTCCCTTTGTGCCAGAAGTCCTTACAGTGGCTTCCACTTAAGAAGACTGGCTTTCCAGAAGAAAAGCTCATTGTTAGCAATGGTTGCCTGGAGGGCAAGGTTATGGGCAGTCTTTTATTTTAAAGGTGCACATGCTGTTCCAATACATTACAGAAAGGATTACTTTAAAATTTTTTCTTTTATTTATTATTTTTATTTTATGTGTATGTGTGTATTGCCTGAATGTAGGCAGGAGCATCCCTGTCATGCAGTGCCCATGGAGGTCAGAAGAAGGTATCAGATCCCCTGGAACTGGAGTTACAGATGGTTGTTAGCCACCATGTGGGTGCTGGGAATTGAACCTGGTCCTCTGCAAGAGCAGTCAGTGCTCTTAACCACTGAGCCATCTCTCCAGCCCAGAAAGCACTGCTTTGGCAGTCAGGAAAAAAAGAAAAAGAAAAAAACAGAGGTTACTTTTACCTTTGATCAGAAAACTGCACACTACTCCACCATCCCCTAACTCTGGGTTTATCCTTTAACCCGTTAACAGACAAACCCAGACTGTATCCATTCAGCAATTTAAGAAGAGAGCCTCTTTCAGATAATCCTTACAACCCTGAGGTTTCTTAAACCCCTACTTTCTGGAGATCCAGAGAGGGTATGTACACTTGTTAAGATCACACAGCAAGCAGTAGGAGCAGACCTAGGGTTCAGTGCTACTACCTAAGCCATATTTGCTTGAAACCATTCATTCATTCATTCATTCATTCAACAAATGTTTATAGACTCTAACTCTTCCAGGAGCTGGACCTACCTCAGGGACTGAAACAGAGCAATAGTTTGAAGGGACCTTACTCTCCCATGAGAGAGACTGAGTTGTATAGCGAGGAAAGGAAACTGAGAACAGTGACCATTTGGAAAGAATTTAACTTGGGGCTCCAAGTCTTTGGTGATTGGTCCTATTTGACTTTTCCAGATACTTCTGTGCCATTTTGAAAAATGCACCCCCAGTGTACAGCTTGAACCAGCTGTTCAGTGGATGCGCACTACTCTTTCCTACTCTTTTGTGTTTGCCATGCCTAGGAGACTAGGTCTTCTACCTTAGACCCTCATTATTTTTTTATATGTGTATGTGGTATGTGTACATGTGTGTATACATATTCTTATATATGTAGGTACACATATGTATATGTTGACATTAGGTGTCTTCCTCTATCATTCCCCACCATATATATTGAGTCAGGATCTCACCCTTGACCCAAGAGCTCACCAATTTGGCTAGTCTAACTAGACCGGTTGCTCTGGGTATCCTGTCTCTGCCTCCTGTACACTGAGATTAGTGGTAGGCCACCTGGCTTTTACATGGGTTCTGGGGATCCAAATTCTGGTCTTCATGCTTGCCCAGCAAGTACTTTATTGACTGAGCCATCTCCCCAACCCAACCCTCACTTATCTTTAAAACTGTCCTTGAGTAGCAAGTCGGTGGACCCCACCCCTACCATGCTGCCTCTCACCTCACCTCTCTCTGTTATGACACTGCCCAGACAGTGACTTCTCCCTTTCAGTGACTTCATTTTTAAATTTTTTATTTATTTTTTATTTTCTGTTTATGAGTATATTGCCTGCATGTATGTAAATGCACCTGTTTCATGCAATGTCCACGAAGCTCAGAAGTGGGTCTCGGATCTCCTGGAACTGGAGTTATGGACAGTTGTTAGCCACCATGTAGGTGCTGGGACTCAAACCTAGGTCACCTGCAAGAACAGCCAGTGCTCTTAACTGCTGAGCCATCTCTCAGCCTCTTCAGTGACTTCTTCCCAGCAGTTCCATTGCCAGTTAAGACCAATTACTTTCAACTCATTTCTTAAGCTTTCTCTTCCAGATGGCCCAAAGTTCAGTGAGGACAGCCAGCCAAGCATGAGATTAGGGGCTGGAGAATTGGCTCAGCAGTTTAGAGCACTGGCTGTTCTTACAGAGGACCCGGATTTGGTTCCCAGCACCCACATGGCAGCTAACAACTGTCTGTAACTCCAGTTCCAGGGGATCTGATGCCCTCTTCTGACTTCAGTGGGCACTGCATGACACAGGTGCACCTACCTTCATGCAGGCAGTATACTTATACACATAAAATAAAAAATTAAAAAATAATAAAATTAAATTAAAAGTGGCAAATTATGTAGGTGCTTAAGTAGCAGTTTAAAATGTACTCTTAAAAATATGAAAACCGACAGCTGGGGCTACAGGGAGACCTTGTCTCAAAAAGAGCAAAAATATCTATATATCTATATATATATATCTATATATGAAAACCACTTTTGGATCTTTGTGCAGAAACACTCAGTCTGGGTTTGACCCATGGGCCCTGATTTGATGACTACTGACCTAGACTTTGCTCCTGCCTTTGATCTGTCCCCTCACACCTTCAACACAGCGGACACCTCAGCTGTAGCCACAAGGGCCTTTAATATGTAGGCTGGACTTTGTCATTCCCCTCCCTCAGCCTGTGGCTCTCCTTTGCCCTCAAGATAAGCAGTAAGGTAAAACCTGCCATTCTTGGCATGAATGAACCCAGAACCCTTTCCTGGTTGCTCTCCAGCTGGTCCTCCAGGGTCCAGGTGGCTTTAGCCCCTGTGCTATGCTCCTGACTGTACTGGGTCTCTTTAACAGCTGCAGGGCTGGGGTGGGCATATTCTGTTAGACACGCTCCTGCTTTCAAGGTCACAGGAGACCGGCTGAGTCTGCTGTCCCTCATTCCTTGTGAGCCTGTGGCAGTGGCCTATGTGGCTCTGGGCCCCCAGTGCCCTTTGACCAAGGCAGCCCTGAGCTTAGGCTTTCCACCCTGTTTTCTATATCCATCAGCAGTTTTCTATGTCCACACCTCCTCAAATTGTCCTCTGCCTCTACCCTCTCTCTACCTGTTTAACTTTTCTTCTTCTGGAAGGAGGAGCCAGGGCTCCTGATCCACAGCCTTTACAGTGATAAACCTTGTGGCTACAAAATCATGAGGCGGTCCTGAGGGAGTAGATGCACATAGGTGTGCGTGCATGCGCATGTGAGACCAACACTTACAGAGCCTGTGAACAGTTTGACCACCAGTAGCTCTGAGCCCAGGCTGAGCCCCAAGCACTGAGGTAGTGGTTTTTCCCCAGGTCTGGTACCAGCAGAGGAAATGAAGCATCCCATGGGCTCCCAGTCCCTCTCCCTTCCCAGTCTACAGTCCTAAGCCCTCTTCAAAATATTCCCTACAGCAGAGCCGGAGTCTCAGTCACACATCAGTCAGTGAGGTGGGGTAGGGCAGGGAACACCACAGGGCCCACACCACAGGGGCCAGACTAGGTCTGCACAGGGCAGAAATACCTACCGTTTTTCTGCATTTAATTGGCAAAGACCCCATGGGGTGACATGGTCACCCCCATCCTGCAGACCACGAAGCAGAGGTGAGGCGCTCTCCCTGTTCCCTTCTTTCCAGCTCTAGTTCCAGCCCACTTTTTCTAAATGGCAAGATGAACGTCTGCCGTCTCAGAGCAGCCTGAGACAGCAAGAGTTTTCCCAGCATCCGGATCTATTCCTCAACAGCCTGCAGCAAGAGCCTAGGGTGACCTGCAGCAAAGTCCAGGAAACTAAAAGCTGCCCTCAAGACCACCCTCCCTGCAGAAGGCTCTGGTACATCCATCCCACAGGCCTCTCTGGACAGGCTCTCTGAGCCCAGCAAAGCGCTCTCTTGAATCTTTCCATCATGTGCTCCAGCTGGGGCTGCCCTGCCACTCCCATGTGCCCGTAGCCACCCTCTTACCCAGGGCCAGGAAGGAGAAGACCCACTGCAAGACTGCGAAGGTCTGCAGCCTGCGCTCCCACGGCACATTCAGGGGCGCGAATTCCACCATGCTGGCCTGGCTTCTGGGAGGCTTGGGACACAGCGGTGCTCAAGGCTGAAGGGGCCTGGCAAAAAGTGCCCCAGCCCAGCCCAGCACCAAGGCCTCCCTGCTCCACCCACTCAAGATCCTGCTTCCTAGAAGAAACCTTTGACTCCCTCTGCTGGGACCTGGCTAGAAGGAGAAAGGTGTTCCGTCCTTATCAGCCCTTTTAGTCAATCAATACCTTATCTGCCAGCTACCTATTTTGGACTGCTTGAATATTGCACTAGGTAGCCTGTGCCAGGTGAAGCCCCAGGTGGAATGCAATGGCAGCCGCTGGCCACCTCTGGATGCCCGGTCCAGCTGAGTTCCTTTCTCCCTATGTCCACTGCTGTCCCTTCACAACAAGATGCACCACCATCCCTCTCAAGAGCTGTCCCGGAACCCCCATGATCTAAGGACCTCCGACCTAAACCTTACCTGCTAAAGGTTTCACCACCTCCCAACAGAGCCACTCTGGGAAGCCCTTAGACATAGAATTTAGGGGGGCATTCACCCAACCATTGTACCATCTATACTGAAAACCCCTAAGTGTACACAGAGTAAATAGTTTCATAAAATGAAAACAGTCCTGCAACCGCCACTCTGATCAACAAGTACAAAGAACATGGCCAGTGTCTCTCCTGTCCTTGTGAGCCACACACAGCTTGTCCTTCCCATAGGCTCCACCTCATCTCTGTTTTTTAAAATTTTTTAAACAAGGTTTCTTATAGCCCAGGCTGGCCTCAAACTTACTATGTAGCCACGTATGACTTGAATTTCTGATTCCCTGACTTCCACCCCTTGAATGCTGGAATTATAGGCATGCACCACCTTACTTGGCATGTACAGTATTTTGGCTCCAACCTCCAGCTTCATGCATGCCAGGCAAGTACTCTATCAATTGAGCTTCATCCCCACCCCATCGCTGTGGTGGTTTGAATGAGAATGTCTCCCATAGGCTCCAAGTATTTGGACATTTTGTCCCCAGTTGGTGGGGCTGTATTGGGAAGTTTTAGGAGGTGCAGCCTTGCTGGAAGAAGCACATCACTGGGAGCGGGCTTAGAGTACTCTTAAACCTTGCCAGATTTCCAGTCACTCTGTTTCCTGTGAGTGCTCACTCCACTTTCTGCTGTGGCCATCTCCTGCCACCATGCCTCCCTGCCATGATGGACTCTAATCCCTCTGCAAATGTAGACTCAAACATTCTTCCTCCTATAAGTTCTCTTGGTCATGGTGTTTTGTCATAGCAACAGAAAAGTAACTAATACAATAACTGTTTTTTAGTTTAATGTTTGGATTTTTAAGACAGAGTCTCACATAGCCCTGGTGACCTTAAACTCACTACCTAGCCAAGGATGACTCCTAACCTTCCTGTTCCGCCTCCTAAGTACTAGGAGTGTACACCACCACCCCCAGCATTATCTCTTTGAACTTTATAAAAGGTGAATTATACAATGTGTGCTCTTTGGAGACTGGCTTACTTAGCTCCAGATTCGGTTTTGGAGAGTCAGTCATGTAATGGATGGGTAGTGTTCTTCTCATTCTTGTCTAGTATGTCACTCAATGACTATTCCAGTTCATCCATTTCCTGCTGATGGATTTCTGGAATGTTACTGTTTATGACTACTATTGCTTGTGCTGTTATGAACATTTTTGTACATCTTTAAAAAAATTTTATTACATTTTAAATTTTATTTTGTACATATGTGTGTATGTGTGTGTACATACATGTCATAGCATACGTGTGGAGGTCAGAGGAAACCTTTATGGAGTCAGTTCTCTCCCACCGTCTTTACATGGGTTCCAGGGGTTGAACTCAGGTCTCCAGGCTTGGCGCCAAGCAGCCTCTACCTGCTGAGCCATCTTGCTAGCCCCTTGTACATCATGTGGTACAGTTTCATGCACACTTCTGTTTGATATATACCTAGGAATTGAGTTGTTGGCTCTCATGGAATAAAGCTATATGGTTTTCTGAAATGGCAATATAAATTTACATGTCTACAAGCCTGATGTGAAAATTCAGGTTGCTGCCTGTTTCTTTCTCATAGTAATTTTTGTTTTGTTTCAGTGCTGGATTCGAACCCAGGACCCTTGCCCCTGCATTCCATTCCCAGTGCACTGTAACTATTCTTATGAATGTTCAGCAGTGCTTCACTATGCTTATAATACTGTTTCTCTAACAACTAAGGTTACATACACTGTAGTATGCTTTCTGGCCACTTGGGTATTGTTTTCTGGGAATTTCTTGTTCTAGTCTTTTGATGTGTGAAATGCCTCCCCCTCCCCCATTGAAATGCTGCTTTCCAGTGTTTCCAACCTCCACCGCCAGCTTCTTTTACAGACTGGCTTCTGCTTCCATGCTGGTCTCTACTCTGTGTTCCCATTTTCCTTCCCACAATCACAGAACGGCCAGAGGGACTGCTGGGTCTAAGAGGAGGCTGTGAATGTTTAAGTTGGAAAGCAGAGCCAAATGGACTTCCAAAATGGACACACCGATTCTCACACTCTCCTGGGGCATCTGAGAGGCCTCCATGGAGGCATCCATGGATCTCCAGCCTTTTTGACACTGGGTGTGACCAAACTTTGTACTTTTTTTGGCCAAGATATAAAATGGTATCTTGTTTTATGCTTACTGATCATCGATATTGATGATCTCTTTATTTATAGGTATTTCCTCTTCTGTGAAAAGTTTGGTCTTAATTTTTTTTCCATTTCTTTACAGTGCTGTGAGGTTTTAAAAAATATGTTTGAAGATTTTTTTTTTTTTTTTTT